GCATAGGCTCACTGCTGCCATCTCCCTTTGGCACAGATTTCTGGCTCAGAAGTCGAAGTGTCAGGTTTTTTCACCTATGGGTTTACAAGTGTGAACCTCCTCAGTCTGGAAAGCAAGTGGGAAGTCTCACCCAGAGGATTTTCCTGAATGCCTGGATGCTACCTACTTTTGACTCAGCTAAGAATACCGCAAGAGCAAGTTTTCTTAAAATGTCTCACGTCTTAGACCAGCTGACTCAGAGAAATACACAGCCATGTGCAAATTAAGTACAGACATAATTTAGCTGACCAAATATGCAACCCAGCGTTAAATTTGTTTAGTTTGGAACCATTTTTGGCTAGTAGCTCTAGCTCCTTCTTAGATATCACATGCTGACTGGTATGCTGCTTTAAGCTGCATTACACATTAGAGGGAACCATGACCGAGTCAACGAGGAGCAATTAGGTTGTTCCTTCATCTCTTCCAGTGCTCCCCTTGTTTTTGTTGGGAGAAAAGTATTTTGTTTTCTGTCTGTATAAGGGTAATTCCCATCTGCAGGCAAGGTGTGATTTGCAGTGGGAGGAGGATCTTTTCATTCTTTCCTGTAACAGATGCGTTCGGGGGAAAAACAGTCCAATTCCAGCAAACTTCTACATCTTGGTGACTTCATCTTGTTGGAGCACTGTGATTCCAGCTGTACTACCAACTGTACATTGGCTTAGCCAATGCTGCTGTTTTCCAGAGGTGACCGAGTCCATCTGTTGTTTGTAGATGATGTCCATCGTTTGAAAAAGCCTTTTCAACACGGAAACAACGATGCGCTGCTGCTTTAGTTTTAAGCGCATCCCTTGGACATACATAGAAAACAAGAAGTAAGCTTCTTAAAGAGCAATCCTGTGAGCTGAGAGCAAAATCACAGCCTTGCACAAATGGATATTTGACAAAGATCTGGGTGCTTTTGCAGCTGTTGTTGATTTTACAGAGGTTTTTCAGATTTTGGTATGGAGGGTGCCAGTGAAGGTGGTGGAAAGTCTTCCAAGGGAGTTGTCAGACAGACTCTCTTTGAACGCTTAAATGGGATACCCTCAAGCCTAGCTCTAACCAAGCTCCTTAGAAACTTTTGAGAGGAATGGGGCTGTTCACAGGAACTGTGTGGTGAGTCATTCTGACAAACAAATACTGGCCAAGAAAACCATCGTCTGCTTGTAAATTGGAGAGTGGGGGCAGGAAATGGAGAAATGTCCCTCATCCGTCTAACATGAAATAATCTTCTAGTCCTTGCAATAACAGATATCAAATGTGGAGAGACTGCCTGCGTAAAACCCTGGTGTTTGCTGGTGTCACCAGCAACATTTCCCACTTCTTCATCTTAAAGATGGCACCCTGAATATTCCAGGTACCTGGCTACGTGCTACTGCTGCATCAGCCAATCTGAATTGTGCCACAGTTCATTCTCCAAAGCTGTTTTTGTACTGCTGTTCAGTATAGAAGCATTTTATTTTATTTTATTTTATTTTATTTTATTTTATTTTATTTTATTTTATTTTATTTTAATACAGGCTATTGCCACATCCAGTGAAGTTTCTAAGTCTCTTCCAGCAGATTTTCACGTTTATGAAGTAGGCGTTCGCAGTTCCTAACAGAGTCATCATTTGCATGGAGAGATGAGATTTATCAGCATTTTCCTTTAGCTGATGTCCTTCAAGGACAGCCCCCAGAAAGCAGAGGTCACTGCGGTAAAGGGAGCTGCATTAATCATCTTAACCATTTGAAATAAGGGAGACTAAATAAATAAATGATGGTGCTTCAGAGGGTTACCCTAGGAAGGACCAGTGTTAGAAACGTTTTTGTTAATCTGGTTTCACCAGTGGAGCAGTAGAGCCGTGGATTAAGTTATATAAAAATGTTATCAGTAATAACAGCATTTATGTTGCACCAGTGCAGTGAGCTGCTCCTGTATGCAAACCTTTCTGCAGCGATAAGATTTGGTTTTAAGAGAGTAATGGAGCACATTGAGTGGTGACGTCCATGGGTCATCCCTCTCATCCTCAGGCAGTTGATGTTGGGTGAAAGAGGTACTGATGTAAATACAAGAGATGTATCAGTGAGGGAAACATTCTGAGTGAGAAGTATCAGTTCTCCAAATATCTGAGAAGAGAAGCTGCCTCATACATAAGGAATGTAAGGTGGTGAGGCATTGATCTGGGGAAGAGAGAGAATGGTGCATGATGAGGTGCTGGAGCATGGAGTGAATGAACTGGCATCCCAAGAGGCAACTGGGTTCTAAAGGCTGTGCTCACCACACAGTTCAGCAATTTTTAAGTGATAGCCTTCTGCACTTGGATTAGCTAAGGTGCTTTGGTTCTGCGTATATGTATGTATGTTGCTTGGCAAAAATCCTTTTGTACACTCAAATTTAGCAGTTTCAGTACTTTGGGTCTGTTCAGTACTATTGCTTGTGGAAAAAACTATAGACAACCATTTTTCAAAAATCTGTTCAAGTGTATAACTGTGCACACCAGAGTAGCTTCAGTTTAATAGGACTGAAAGTGTGGATACACATATATTGCCTGAGTAGAAGCATGTGGTGATTTGTTATCGTGACTGAAAATTATTATGCCTTAAATATTCGGGAGAGTGTCAATATCTTTCAAATGAAATAGTACTTGGTAATTATCGAGAAAAGGCTTTTTAATCATATTAATCAAAATCCTTATCAAGATAATTCAGTTCACTGAAATTCTGTAGTGGGAAACCAGCCCCTAATAAACAAAAACATTTTTAAAAAGGTGAAAAATATGACAGAAATTATCTGAAATTCAAAACAGGAGTCAATTGCTGCCCGTACAGAAAAATAACTTTACATGACAACATTGTCCTGGAGATGATTCCCAATTTTGTCTTTATTCTGATATGTACTGATAAAAAATAGTAGGCGCTTCTCAAATCTTACCATACAGACATTTTAAATAGTTCTCAGTACCAAAATATCCTCGAGGGTTTCTGCTACTGACGTCTCTTTGTTCTTTTCAATATCTTTTTAAATCATCAGAATTTTAAAAAGCAATTTAACTTCATAAAAAGCTAATTTGATTTATTGGGGTTACTTTTATTTATTAACCAATTTGCTTCTGGGTTGATTTTCTTAAGTGCTAAGTTTCATAATGGAAATGCTGACACAACCTTAAGTATAGAAGCAAATGCTATTCTAATAATTCAGCTGAATAAATACCAGCCAGCATTTAGTTATTTTCCCAGGAACTGGATAAACAGCCACTTCCTTTATAGTGTCTCTTTGTGAAGTAAAAATTCCCTAGCCTGCTAATCATCACTAGGAAATTTTCTATTAAAAAAAGACCCCTAACATTTCTTTTGTTTATTCTGCAAGGTCTTTGTGGTTCCATATTAGTCATGTTAAAAAACAAACAAACAAAAAAAGAACCCACAACAGAAACAGCACAAATGATCAACAGCAAAACCCCACAACCCTGAAAACAAATACTCTGACTTGGCAATGAACCACATTTTGATCTCTTTCAAGAGGTTCCTCTTTTGAGGTACTGGCTTCTGTAGTGGAAGACGAAAGAATGAGCTCAGCCAAATAATTCAGGTGATGGTCTGAGTTTCAGAAGCTTAGAATTATTCTGCTGTAGAGATTTACTTCTGATTGTTGTTTTGGATCAGCTGCTTGGAATTCGCAGTTGAGTTTACAATAGACATTAAAGCAACCACTGCCTTTGGTATGTACGAAGGCAGAACTTTTGCTATTCCCCAGAATATTAGCTGATATTTACAAGTTGATCTGTTATCTCAAGCTTGTTGTAGCCCAGATCTGGTGCGTGTTTGATTTTTAAACCAGGCAGTCCAGTGGAGTAAACGAGTGTGACACTTGGACTACATTAATACACCACCATCTAGTTAATGAGCTGAAATTCTCCACAGGTAATAGATAACCTATTGTGGCATAGCAGTCATAGAATCACTGAGGTTGGAAGAGCCATCTAAGATCACCAAGTCCAACCCCAGCCCATCCTCATCATGCTCACTAACCAGGTCCGTTGGTGCCACATCCCCACCATCTTTCTGAGAAGAAATTTTTCCTAATACCCAATCATAAGGAAAAAGTTCTTCAGTGCAATTTAATCTGCCACTTTCAACTGTCCCCGTGGTGTAGCTATCACACTGGAGCACAGTAGGGCAGGGTCACAGAAAGGGTCTTACTCTGTGAGTCCCCATTAGACTAGTGAAAAGTAATTTTGTGCTGAAAAGAAACAGGAGCGATTTGAACGTGGGGGATTTTTTTTTGCAAGCTAAAAGGGAGTTGCTTTCCCCAGCAGTTCTACCAATGAAAATGCAGTTTCTCACTGAAATCTAGAGAGGTGTTGGCTGTTCCTCAGATAAGCACCAGCACTCCGGGCTGTATGTATACCCACAGATTATTGGTAGATGCTCTCACCTAAATTTTGTCTGCAAATTGAGCACTGGCACAAGCCTTAACCCTCCAAATACATCACTTGCCCAACCTGTGTTAGGACCAGCCCCTCTACATTGCCTAGGGGGTAGCTGCCAAAGGTGTGCTGTGGTGCAGCACTTCTGGAATGGTGACACAGGAGAGAGGAGCAGGCTCCCTTACTGATGGGATATCTATCAGGCTGCTCAACAAAAGTGAAATTATTCAGCTCACAGAGCCTCTGATTTGCATTCTAGACCTTTCCTCTTTCATTTCACTAATAGCCACCCCACTGGGCGCACGGCCTGACAGCTTTTAGTTTATACATGCTTAAACCATACTAATTACTGACTTTTAAGTAACTAGGATTTTTTATTGCATCTTCATTGAGGTAACTAGGAGTTTTTATGGCATCTTCATTAAGGTAATAGTAGGTGGGTGGAGATGCATGTCAGTCATGTGAACTGGTAGATGGATCACACCTGGTGTTTTGGTTAATTTGTCTTGTTAATTTGCTTGCCGTGTTTGCAGCTGTTAGAAATGACAGCTTCTTTTGCAGTGATGAAACAAGCTCAGCAACACTCTGCTTCCTTCTGTCAACAGAGAAATGAACCCTGAGTGTGTGCATGAGGAGAGATGCTGTGGAGAAGAATCAGTTGATGAGAGGTAGAAATCTAGCAGAATGCCCTTGTTCTCACTATATTCTTAGCTAAGACACCAGTATTTTAAAATTGGAGATCATTTGAATCTTGTGGGTGAATGTAACAGCCTCTTAAAGTGTACTGAGGAGATAATGCTGTGAGAAGGACATGCTGCAAAAGGGCAACAGCTGATTGACTTTGTCAGAGGTGTCTGATCTGATGCTGTTGTGGATGTTAGTAATTTAAGCAGCAATTACAGCTTCCTTCTGAAGAGTTGTGGTGCTCATTGGTAGCCTCTGAGTTGGGATAAAGGAAAATCACGTGAAGCAGCCAAGTCATGTTTTGATGTACAAACACTTTGAAAACTTAGTTAAAGGAAAAGAAATAAAAATGCAAAAAAAAGGGAAGACATACATCCATACCAGCTGGATGTGTTTTCCTGCTTTTCTCTCTTTCTGAGAAGTAGGAAAGCAGGGCAGCCCCTGGGAAAGGCTGGGACAGGATGTTCGGAGCTCCCCTGCCCTGCTGTAAGGAGTAGCTGGGAAAGCACTGCAGCAAGAGGAGGTGGGAAGGAGTGATCTCTGGGTGTGGATATGAACCCAAGATAAAAATAGTGAACTGAAACAATTTATTTGTTCAGCTGAGCCACTGTCAAGTTAACTAAGGAAGGAAAGCTGCATTCTGAGGAGCTGCCCGTGTAAAGCAGTGAGTGTCGGCCAGGTGATGGAACAAATGGGAAGCATTTAGCTGGATTAGAGGTTTTGCTGGATGCAACGTGTGTATTTAATTTCTGTGGATATTCATGCCCTGTGGCGTGCTGTGGTGCCTCTGAGAGATTCTGTGTTACTGAGATTTAGTGTCAGAGCTATGTCAGCTGTGAGCGTGAGTTTTCTCCCACTTTAACTTACCTGGGAGATCAGCAAGATACGCATGTACGCAGAGCACACGTCTACTTATGACCCTTTTCAGCTTTCCAATGTGAGGATCATGTTGATAACAGTGAAAAAATTTAAAAGGAATGCTCATTCCTGTTGGTATTTTATCACAGTATTAGCAATGTAATATACTCAGTGAAAACTTTCTACTCGCATGGCTTTGCTTTTTTGCCTTTCTGACATTGAATGTGGTGAGATGGAAAAAGGCTTTTTCTGTTAAACAGCTTTACCCATATCATGCTTAATGTTCAAAACCACTTCAGCTTCCAAAACTGGATCACAGAAAAATTAGAGTTTGTTTTCTTTGTCCTAACGACAACAAAAAAGCGCCCACAAACACAAAGAAGTTGTGGTAGGATCCTTTAGTGCTTGCTCCAAGTGGTCGGTGCCTCCCACCAAATTTATTTTAAAAGCTGAGATCCTGTAGTTTGAAAAGCCAGAAGCAAGAACCAGCCATTTCTGCACAGAAAGACCACATCCATTCCTAAATGTAGAGGTCAGGGAGCCCGAGGAGCAAAATCCTGTCACTGACTTGGGGAACACGACCAATGCTTTGTAGACCACGGCTGCTGGTGCACAGCATCTGTTTGACAGTGCAGGAGGATGCTTTGTGAGACGAAGGGAAGCGACGTGTTCCCATTCTGTGTACGAGGCAGGGAAACGTAGGTAGGTTAGAGGCAATTTTCCAGATCGCTTTTGAGGTGAAAAGCAACCGTCTTCATTTTTAATTTAAAAACTAATCTCTTTAAAGCAGAGGGGAGAAAACCCACAGTGTAAGCACGATTCCACTTCAGCTTTGTATTGCACTCTGCTCTGTACTCTGGTTACTGCTTTGATATTATAATGGTGTTATTTCTTGTAACATGGGGGTACTGTGGGACTCATTAGTCATAAACCTTACCCTTGGAAAATGTAAAAGTCAACATCAACGGTCACTAATAATGTATTTCACCTACTGTTATTCTAAGTATGTGAACACAGTCGGAATCTGCTTGTGTTGTCCTTTGGAAATATCTTTTTGCAGAGTCTTTTTTTTCTGTAAAGCTTAGTGGCCATTGAATATATTTATTTCACATTTTGAAATATTTTCCTACTTATAAAATGAAGCAATTGATCTAGGGCCTTACTGTAAGGTTTTTCCTTGGGAGGAAGTAAAAGTTAGGTGTGGACCTTACTTGGACATACCTGCTCCATATTTCTCGGCTGACCCCGCCAATCCTTTTTGTGAACTCTGAAAAATTGTAGAACCAAACTGTTAAGGTTGGAAAGATCTCCAAGGCCATCAAGTGCAACCATCACCCATGCCCACTGACCACATCCCTCAGTGCTGAATCTGCCCTTTTTTGAAATCCTCCAGGGATGGGGATCCACCACCTCCTGTGCAGCCTGTTCCAACAATCCTTGTATTTTGTTTCGTAGGAGTTGTTCAACAGAACACATCATTTTGGTTTTTTATGGGATTTGTATTTGTATGGAATTTTTATGGGATTAGCTGGGAAGTGCCCTCATGAGGACATATCTGGAATACTGAGTGCAGTTCTGGGCTCCCCAGTTCAAAAATACAAGGATCTTCTAGGAGGAGTCCAGTGGAGAGCAACAAAGATGATCGGGGCCTGGAGCATCTTCTGCATGGGGAAGGACTGAGAGAGCTGGGGGTGTTCAGCCTGGAGAAGAGAAGGCTGAGAATGGATCTGATCAGTGCTTATCAATATCTAGCGGGTGGAAATCATGCGGGTGGGGCCAGGCTCTGTTCTGTGCTGTGCAGGGATGGAGGCAATGGGCACAGATTGGAACGCAGGAATTCCATACGAACGTGAGGAAGAAGCTTCCTGTGAGGGTGACAAGCACTGAACAGCTGCCCAGTGCAGTCATGGAGTCTGCTTTTCTGGAGATACTCAGAACACCTGGAGGCTTTCCTGTGTGACCTGCTGCAGGGATCTGCTCCAGCAGGAGGTTGGGCTGGGGATCTCTGGAGGTCCCTTCCAACCCCTACTACTATGTGGCTTCAACCCCACACAGGTGCTGTCGGTGATGTGTAGCATGCCAGCTATTCAGGAGCACACAGCTTTCTCTCAGTTACCAGTGGTCTGACTGATCTGTAACTGATGCCTTCTCTTCTCTTTCTCCCAGCTGTGAGCCAGCTCTTTAAAACCAGTAAAGGTGTGACACTGAATGAGAAGGCAAAGCGCTGAGAGCCTACGTTTCTGCACAGATGCCTTCTTGACTTTCAAGACTTGTAAAGGAAAAATAAAAGAATATTTTGTTTCATTTGTAATCAAGCCCAGTCACCACTATGGCTAGGGTTGGCCTAACGTTTTCACCATGTTGGTTTAATTAGGTAATACAAAACCCATCAGCCAGCAAGTTGCTGTGTTAAATCCAATGAGTATGAAAATATTCTACAGCTCCTTTGTGTAGCATCACATTAAGAGAGAAATCATTTTCCAATCGCTTGTCCCTATGTTACTAATCATTCAACTTTAGGTATTTATGTATAGATACATATTTTTAAATCTTCTAGATTGAAATAGTTGTGGATAGATTGATTGTGAACTGATTTATGATCCGTATTGCACCAGAGAAGTAATTTTATGCATATAACTTCTTTTACAATTACCTCCACAATGATTTCAAAGGATTTCACTGCTTGTGGGAGGCCATCAATAAGTGGCACTTGCATATTCATCCATTTCAATCTGAGATTTTTAAAGACCTGAGGGAATAGAACAGAACCACTGGAAATTAATTTTTTTTCAGCAAGTTTGCTTTTTCTTTTTTTTTTTTTTTTAGGGGATTGCCATGCCTCAGTGAAAGCTCTTTGAAAATTAAAGTGTTCCTAAATTCACAAATACTGAAAGCTGAAGATTTCCACCAAAATGTAGCAATTCTTTTCAGTATTCCTTTTCATTCAGTCGAATGTAAATCTTGCATGTGGGCTTTGGTAGGTATTTCTTTCCTATTAAATATGCACTATTCCCAAGTGAATGAAACTACTCAGAAATGAGTTTGTTCTTTGACTAGAAAATCAGCTTTCCCAATTTCTTGGATTATTTATTTAACAGAGCTATGCTTTTAAAATTGCCAGTTTAAATCTCTTGCTCCTGCAGCAACAAAGTGTAGGAGGGTCATTCTCCCACCATCTTATTTCTCTCCTTTCTGCTTAAAACACCTAATTCTGCTCCTGACAACAGGCAAGCAAAGAAACAAGCCTGCCATTGTTATTGAACTGGGTGATAACTCCCAGTGCCTGCTGCTAGACTGGCAGGTTACATGGAATAAGCAGATTTCCAACAAACAAGTATAGGAAACAAATGTCCCAGGAGCAGCCCTTGAGGGACAGCTGTGTCACACTGTGGTGTGTGCTGCTGAAGTCCCCAAGTAGTTTGGTTCATCACCATAGGGAGCAGCTTGCTCAGATCTCATTAGCAGTGCCATTCTTGCTTTTACAACAACTGTATTGAGTGTTGCACATGTTTGGTATGCTGCTTCTGGGTCTGCAGTTGCTTTGGACAGTGGTAAATGAGGTCTCTGTTCTCTGCAATGCATTGCCTGATGGTGTGAGGGAACCCAGCTAGGATGAAAACCTATTTTTTTGAGTTGTGCAAGTGGGGTCCTTCTGACTTCTTTCATGGTTACACCTATTCCTCACTGGAACGTGGCAAATGCTTTCCAGACATTAATTATCTGTGATGCTTATTTCAATGTGAGAACAAGTCTGTCTTTGAGAAGCCATGATATCTGTTGCTACAGGCAAACACCAATAGCCCAGCCCTTAGGGTTAATCGTTAGAAGTGGAGAAAGATTTTTGGGGGGAACCTTTGTTCGAATATTGACTGCACAGCACCACACTTCTGCAGTCTCAAGCTGTATGTAGACACTAGAATGATCTGAAAAATATGTACTTCCAAAATTTCTTTTTAATTTGTAATAAATCCATTTTGGAATTTACTAAGGGCAGCTCCAGATGGCCTGGAGCATGTTCTCATTCATATTTCAAAACAGAAAAACCCTTCTCAGAATCTGCAAGCTATGTCTTTTTCATGGGGATGATTTCTGTTGAGCAAGGAAAACTCAGGTTAATTAGGCCAAA